TTCTCCTTTTGGCCACCCTATAAGGAAGAAGAGGACAACGAAGAAAAGAGAACAGTGTTTGTCAGCTATCATGCACAAAGCGCCGCCACTACACCAGCAAGAATTGCAGAGGGGAATGGAATGAAAATTTCCTACCATAACAGCAGTCAACCCAAGGCGGTAGATAAAGGCGGTAGAGGTTTTGCTGGACTCGCAGCACCGGGGACACCAACTACATCCATGCTCACATCGTCTCATAAACGCCCCACGGACCGACCTTCGGCTCTAGTCTCTCCACTCGCGTCGCTCAAGCGTTCGCGTAGCAGCAACGTTCGAGTGAGTCACTTGCGCATGAATCCCGCAACCGTGGGTGCTCCAAGGGCTCTGCTAAAGAAACCACCGCCACCACTACCACCTCCCCCATCGCCGCAGCCAATACCACGGCAAAAATCACATTCACAGCCACACGCACACAATTCTGCCAAGAACGCAATGGCATGCAGCGACTTGTATCTCCAGTCTCCGTCGGGAACTAGTAACAAGAAGTCATATACCTCCTCGATCCATGTCCACGTAAATCCAGTTGCCCCGCCCATCACGCTCGATCTACGTGAACCAACATATCAACCAAATACTGCTTCAAATTCCACAAGCAATGCGCTTCCTCAATGCTCCGAACTACAGGATTCACATCCCAAGAGGACACACCACCTGTTCACCTTTTCTCGCTGTCCATTAGACTTGAGATACAGGGAATTGCGGTGCATGGAAGGCGTCGTTTTCCAATCGACGCCAGCGAAAAGCACCAAGTTGTCCGTTGAGAAGGAGGCATTTACCGACACTGAAGTGCCTTTGCCGAGTCCACGCATCACCCTCGAATCGTGTGATAAGAGACGTGAAGAGGTCATCTCTAGAACCAAGGAATGTACCATGTGGAACACCAGGGACGACGTCTTGACGAACGATGTGACGATATTAAAACCACATGAAGAGGTGTTTCCCTTTATGCGAGGCACTGGAAACATTATTCAGCACTCCAAGGAGATGACCAATGACACTCCAAGCCTGAGCAGACTCAGAGTAGTCTCTCTTCGGGAGGGACGCGTGTGTGAAATTGTGCGTCCCTTCTCACCCTTTCACGCACTCATCTCCCTGGAGAATTCGCAGAAAGCATCTTTACGCTTTCATGAACCGACAAACAGCAGGGCTGTCGACAGTACTCCATGCATTCGGCTTCATGAATCAGTGGTTAGGCATGCATCACTTGGTCAAATCCTCAGTGAACCGCTGGCGGATAAGTCCCGCAATTTCCCTGCTCCCTCTCCAGAACCGAAATTCGATATACCCCCTGACAGAATCACCACTCCCCAATCACCCTACTTGACAGAGAATACCGTCTACTTCGAGGCACTTGGCAGCCATTCCACTGCATTCTGTCCAGAGGGGAGTCCACTCCTGAATACGAAGGCAGAGGGAGTGGCCGTCTCACCACTGAAAAGAGACACAACACCGACTCCAAAGGAGACGATGGAGCGCATCAACAAACTACGTAGCATCCTTCGAGTTGATAAAAAGTTCTACCCACTTCAAGTGGATAAATGTGTGCAGGTAGAGCAGCCTGCAAGAAGGACTCTGGATTCGTGGCAGATATCGAAGGAGTGTCAGGTGAATCAACTACCCTCGGATTTGTGGGACACTGCGACCATCAGTGACACCTCAACCCACTCCTTCAACGAGCATGATGATGTGGTCACCAACATTGTTGAAGATTACGGAGATTGTGAGCCACTGCCATCTTTCCGCGGACGTCCTCAACCACAAGAAAACGCCTCCTTTCCACTCCTCATGATGCGGCAGGAGCACAGGCTGCGCAAGCCATCATCCAAATTTGTCCGCCGCCGACGCCGTACTAAAATTCCAACTGTGAAGATGGAAGATGAAAGGGATGCGGAAATTACCTCAGGAGCGCCATTCGTGGCATCCCGAGCGATCAGATCTATGTCGGTGGACGAGAGGCGGTGTCTGCCATCGGCAGAGCAGGGATCAACCTTTTCTGCCAACGAATTCTCACCTCCAGTTTCAGCTACCACGTCGGCAACACGCTGGGAGGAGTGCATAAACCGAGTGTACGCACGACGCAGATATCATTCCGTCTCAAACAATACCCACATCCAATCTTCTCGGCCAAAGCAAACCTCTCGCAAATCCTGCACCAACGATCGAAAGAGGCTGCAAGACTTGAGGTGCAGTTTAATGAGGCAAACATTTGCATCGGCTCAACGATGTAAAGCCAGTCAACCTAATTAGCTTGAGGGCACTTTTTTAGACATCAAATGTGAAGAATACTGTTTGTGTACTATTTAATTAATCCAAAGATAGTTTCTTTATGGCTCTCGATCTCTGCTTACTTTGACCTCTAGTTCAATCAATTTAAAATAAGCCTACCACTGAATATACCTCAGGTGTAAGAATGATGTAAGAGGAGTCATCTATCGCACTAGAAAATAAAATGCTTAATGTTTAAAACATTCTAAGTTGGAAAGTCGTGTGTTTTTCTCCCATCGTAATTCTCCTATTTTATACCGATCCAATAACCTACCTATCTTCTTCCATAAAAGATTATGGATAAGGTTTTTGTTTGTTGACAGCGACAGCTGTTGTTCCCTGAGACTTCTTTGAGGACAAAAGAAGACATAATACTCGAACAGAATATGTGCTGCCGATGTGGAGATTGGCTGGGGGCTAGTGGCCTGGTCCAGACGCCATGCCACGCAGTGGAGATCCAATCAAGGAACCCTAAGTGCCCCTTAAACCAGAACGAAGAGTTAAACAAATAATCTGGGTATTACATAACCCCTCCCTTTTCCAAGCTCCCTTGGCCGAATTCCTATGGCAGTCATTACATCATAGTTGATACTGTAAGGAAACACCAACAAGTTAACAGTGCCAGACCTCGAAATTTCATGCAGCTAAAGAGATAGCTTACTGCAACGTCACTGACCCCTTTTGGCAAATGCAGTGGATCTGGAGTTTCTTCCAGCTTAGGAGCTGTGTTGAGCTAAAGGCGAAATGCATAGGCCATCTCCTATGACCATCGCTTGTTTTAAGAATACTGGCCTAACAGCAGAGTCACTTAGCGAAGAACGGGGTCTAAAATAGTTCCTTGGGGATAAAATTCCGCGTCTGTTTCTCCGTGCTACTTTGTTCCCACCTCAGTGCTGTTCAGCCACATATCTACTTGGGTTCTATCCGGCCAGTAGCTGGATGGTACTTACGTACTTACGTAAATAACTTCTTCATACAGATACTGTTGATGGCTCCATAACGATACTTCTCCAGATAGTTCACGGCTATGGCTGCTTCAGCTGTTAATGGCATTCCTGCAGAACACGGAACTGGGGTAGTTACCGAAGGTAGACGTCATTTTCAGCCCCTCTATTAGGAGCTGTCACAAGTTCTCCCAATAGCGACACCTACCCTTCTTCCGTCACATTAAGGTTCAGCATTCAGTAGGAGAAATCAGGACAGATGCATTTCAGGAGCAGGTTCACTTGCCAATGACAACAATGTAGAGTCCCGAGCCTTTCTTGAGGACGAAAGAATATGCATTACCAAAGCATAGAAGGGCTTAGGCGCCAAAGGTATGGATTGAAGGCCACGTTTCCCCAGCAGATGTCCATTCGTGGAGCTTGAGTGCCCTTGAAATCAAAATGAAGAGTTAAACAAACAATCAATGCATTCCATTATCAAATCATTGTTGATGCGACACCAAGACAGAACTGGATAGCCGGTGAGGTGCAAAGTTGATGAAAGAACTGGACACATCACTTTTGAAATTAAACTGCATGAACAACAAATAAACCTGTCAGATTATTTGGAAATCACGCATAATCAACGTGGCTTTCAACTCTACTTCTTCCCGCGGCTAACTTCCAATCTTCAAAATAATATTTCACACAAACTCCAATTATGTGGATGGGGCTGTACTTCCCTTAAGTGATGGCGAACTCTTTGGAGATGTCACTTCATCAAATGCACCCTTGGCTGTGCATACAGTTATGCGAAGGAGCGTTCGCATGAATGGTAATACGGAAAAGAGTTGAACACTGATAAGTTAGTAGAATTCAGCTCGGTGGAAGGGGTAACTCTGCCAAACCAGAAACTTATAAATCAGAGATGATGACCTGAACCCATTGTAGTCCCTTCTAAAAGATCTGCAAAACACCCAATGGTAACGTTAAAGGGGGCGGTGAATGTCTTCTCACCTGCTAGTACTACCATTTACTGAATACGGTCCACTGCACGTGGCCCGTCACCCCCGACGTCTGTATCCTAGGTCGCATGATATATGGCCTGTGCGCCTTCAGCGCTACCAAAGTACTGTCCAGGAGACCAGGTGCTAGTTGTCAGCTTTTTCAATCTGTAGCGTTAGCCATCCGACAGCTTCTCAAATGTGACTTGGGTCGTTCAGTTTTGCCTGTCTCGGAGGCGCTCCGTTGCCACACGACCTCAAGCCGGAACGGGAAGTAACAATAAGGCCGACGTGACCGACTGCGGGCGTGCATCTGCCGGGACTCACCAGAGTCAAAGTGCAACATCGAACGTGGGTCACCGCGGAACACAATGTGCATGCGGATCGAATACTGCGCTGGACACCCTCCCTCGCGAAAACAAACAAAATCGAAGGAAGCGGAAAAACCCCCAAGTCGTGTGGCGTGACCTCCCACAAATATGAGCCTAGAGCACCGCGCGCATCAGAACTGATGACCATAATCCCTAGACCAGTATGCCCCCAGAGAGCATTAAACAAGCCTATCCCTTATTCAAACTCTATTAGCTAACGCTATCACGGAAGGAAAATTCCCTCCAATGTCTAAGTTTGCAAGTCAGTCGTGCTTGCCAAAGAAGCTCCTCTTGCCACAATTGGAAAAATACGAAGCTTTCAAAAGAGAATTCACAAGCCCATTTATACACCAATAATCACACACTCAAACAGGCATAAGGAATGAGAAGAAAGATGATCACGTTGCAGCCTCCATCTCATCAGAATGACTGTCATTATCCTCTGCTTCATGCAAACTTTCTTCCTCTTCTTCATCAGAGGAGGTGTCGTCTTCAACCTCCCCATCACCTTCCTCACTGTCATCATCATCAGCTTCATCGTCCTCATGGAAGTAGCTGACTGCCACATCATAGGCAAAGGAAGGGGTTGTGGTAGAGGCTCCTGGTAATGCAAGAGGTGCTGCCTTGACGTTGAGGTATCGTACAAATTTCGCACTGTCCGCTGCGTCGCAGTACACCAGGGTTAACGCGTTGTCCTCAGGTTGGACGCGCAGCAACTGAAGCGCAATAACCACCAGTTATTACAGACTCGACCATCCCCCACTCCCTCCTGCATGTTGCACCGGTGACCCACAGGGATGGATCTTAGACCGCCCGAAGCACTAAATCGAATACAAATGGACAACTAGGCTAAGGAAAAGTAGTTTCCGACATTCGCTGTGGGTATACCTCCTCATTATCCGTCCTGGAAACGTAGATGATCTGCCCATTCCAGCAGTCCTGCCAGTAGAGTTGATTGTTACCATCGCTGCTGTTACTGATGCCACTATTGTTACCACCGGTGGCCGACTCGGTGATCGCTTTCGCCTTCTCGCCCAGTTTGCATCCGTAGCCACCGACATGATAGAAAAGATCCAAGCGCCAGGTAGAAACACCACCATCAGGCGCGGTTGTGGCGATGACACCAGATTCCGCATCGGCCAGCAGTGTGTACATGCCAGCACACCAGCGATGGAATCGCGGAGCAGTCACTTCAGTGTTTGTTGTCTCTTCAAAACGACTTCGCTTAGCTTCGCTGCCATTGTCGTCCTCCACTTCCTCCGCCTTCTCAGCACCACAACGGGCTAAGGGGTGAAGCCTGATGCCAGTCATTTGGGAGAGGAGGAGAAGCATCGCTTCTGAGGTGAATAAACGTCGCACCTCATGACAATCCAAGGGCAATTTCGCCGCCACCTCCGCCTCTGTGGCGTAGGGCAGCACACTTACGTTCCTGCAGGAAAATCAAACTGCAACCCTCTTGTAAACATTTCCATGATATAGTTATGCTTCAGGAGAATAAAAGATTTATCTCATGATGGGATCGCTCGACGTTTAGCCTATGCAAATCCTTAAGACGTCAAGTATTATTTCACAGTGAATGAAGTGACATCGGTAACTGATGGTGTAGGAGCCCGTGAAAATGACCTTATGAGCACCGCAAAGACTCAATTTGCGCACGGAGCGATCGCAGAAACCTTCGTTAGTAGGATAACTACGGTTTGTAAGTGCGCCTTGCTATATTCATAAAAGAATCTGCACATAAATCAAGTGTCAAAGCAAAAAAAGTTGACTTTGAGTTTGGATATGAAATGAATACCCTCACAGCCAATGGTAAACCCTGTGGAGGGTGGAATTTCTCGTAGCTCTAGGTCCCTTTGGAGATGGATTTGAAAAGAAAAAGCAAGAACCGATATGAGCACAGGTGTTAGTTCACCGAAGCTACCACAAAGCCTAGACGAACTACATCAGTTTTGCGCTCGCCTTGACTGTGGAAACTAAAGATTTCCACACATGATTACGGCGCCAATTAACATCCAAGAGTCAGAGACCAAAGGCATTCGCAACTACCAAGGGGAATTAAAGTGGATCTTAGGCACCACTAGATGTGTGGAATAACCTCAGGATGACCTTTAATAATCACGGATGCCAAAATTAAATGCATGGGACGGGATTACAAAGACGACAAATGCGAACTAAATACTCCCACCAGAACTGCCATTGAAGCAAAAAACATTAGATATCAATGAAATAGGCGGACAAATTGGTGTGCGGATCAAACCAAATCAATTTAACACTTGTCTTAGCCGTGATAATTGGTAAATTCCCACGCAGTTGATTATGACGTTCAAACGGTGAGGAAAAATAAACCGCGAACCTCAAGTCCATCGGTCCCTCATGCAGCCAAACGGCCTCCTCCGCACTCAGAATGGCTTTGCACAGACGCTCCCAGCTGCTTTCCTGCGGAGGAAAAGCGCAGCGGTAAATTAGCCCCCACAGTGCAAAGGAAAAAACTTACGCGGAAGAACTGGCGCAGTTGGATCTCCGAGGTGGAAATAAAACGTCGTCGAATGACTTTCAGCTGTTCCAGGTCAATATAAGTAGGGGAAAGCCATTTGAAGAGCAATTCCTCCTATTGCGACAAATTAATTCACTACTGTAGGATTCCAAGCAGAAGACAGAAGACGAAGGGAAGGCGAACAACCCACCTCAATGAAGCAGGGGGGAAGGCGAGGTATTCTGACAGGATCGCGTGACCGAGGCACACGTGGGAGGGGATCACTCATGTACCACCCATGAATTGAGAGACGGTCTCGCTTGCCGATCACCTCCGCCACCTGTCGTCAAGGCAAACAAAAGAGAAGGGGCTTGAATTTTCCCTGAGAACTTGTCTGTCGATTCCGAGGTTCTAGAAAAACAAACATCGATCTTGTCGATAACTTTATGCGTCAAAAGCTCTCTGAGCCATCACATCACTGTTTTTCAGATTTGGAATAAGCGCTGCGTATATGACTCCGTACATGTGGTAGGTAAACACCAAACAGAATGCACGGTAATAAGTGACATTTGCGAAAATTGATAACTAACATAAGCAGATTGTAGAAACAAACTGCCTCCACCATATTGTGCGAACTCTAAGCATCGACGTCCCACGGAAAGAAAATATGTGACAAGAGACCAGACACAAAAAACTAATAACGAAACAAAAAGAAGCGACGTAAGATCAGCAGAAACAGTAGAATGGTCGTCGTTACGGATCGAGATTAATGAAAAGATGCTGGTCAATAGACTTACAAGACACTCAGGTCAAATGCTTAACACCAACAAAACTGACCTGATGAAATGATTTCGAACAGACCTCGAAGAAAGCCAAACAATTGCGACCAGGAGGCAGAGAACGGACGACTCGCCAGGGGTGATAGTCACCAGATCCGGGTGGTACCACGTTGCAGCCGGGAGTGGGACCGGATTCGTAGAGGTCAAGGGTTCCACCATCCATGGCGACATCCCAATCCTCTGGAACCAGGTAGATGATAAAGGCGATGCGTCGGCGCTCCAGTTCGTCATCGTGACAAAGGAGATAATCTGGAAAAATCGAGAGCCAAATCAGATGAATGTAAAAGCCCAAAGGGCAACAGAGACAAAGCCTCACCATTTGGCTCATAAAGAGAGATAGTTGAGCTAACTTCACCTTCGTCCAAATCGGAACCAGTAACGGCCTTCATCCATTGTAACATATCGGACGCGAGGAATTCCCTGGAACGTAGAAGCTACAGTAGATACAGTGGTCGGATACATGCCTTTATTCAGCAATACAATAGTATAAACAAACCTCATCTGACATAAAAGTGGAAATTTCCCAGCAAGCTTAGCACTTTTACAGAGCCCCTTTAGATCGCCGCTCTGATTGAGTGAAAAAAGGTCGTTTAGCCGACGATTGAGGGGAAATTTACGAGCCTCAACCTCTAGAGCGCAAATCTCGGCAGTTTCCAGAAAATTTGGAAGTACTGCACACGTAAACGGTGAGTGGATTATCTTGACGCCATCTAGAAAAAAGGCTAAAATTTTTATTTTCACGGATGAAGATGGAGAGCGACCTTGAATACAGGCGTACACACCCCCACTTTCCATTGTTTTCCCTTCTGGAGAACGAAAGATCTCCAGAAATAGCCTTTGAAAGTCAGGATCCGCGTACTTAGGATTGATTGAGAACGAACACCTCATAGTCACGTGCAAACGAGGCTCAAAACTTATCCAAGGCGGCTAAATGAGTTAAAGACGGAAACAAAATACTCGTCATTAAGGTAAAAATATACACACCTAAAAAATGCAAATTTAAAATGCACTCAGAATCTGTTACTTGTTTCTTATACACGTGTTTGCCGCTAAGCGGAGTGCAATTTAATATTTTTAAAGCAACAAGTTAGGAAAAATACTTTACTAATTTGTAACCTGTATAGGGGTTTTTAAAATAAGCAAGTTAGAAAAATGCTTAGAGTTATTAGAAATTGGCAGCGTGACTACTAAAATCCACTCTGTATTATTTTGTCGTTGCAATAAAACCATGGAAAAAAGCCTTTTCATCAATGTTGTTTTCAAAGAACAGCTTTGGTCTAGAGGCAATCGAGCGAGAATGCATGCGTCTTCCCATTTTTATTATCCTAATTTATTCTACTTACTCAACCACACTGTTTGGTCGAAGGAAAGCAAGCGGGTCACTCGACTGGTATGCCGACGTTGTAGCCTTTGCCTAAACTCGTTGTATTGTTCAGCAAATCTCTTGTTTTCGCTGTTTGGAAACCATTTTTGCAAATTTAGCACAGTTCTTGCTGATTGTGGCGTTTGATTTCTTGGTAGGGGAAAATAGTTTCCTAGCTAAACTATTATCTATTTGGATGGGGAGAAGGGCAAATGCATTTTTAGGTAAGGTCTGATCGACTTCCGCTTTTTTCATTCTCTTATCTGGATCGTTTTTCTAGTCCTTTTTTGACACTATAGTAGTTTTGTCTCAGTACTCACTTCCGTATCTGGTGTCGTGGGTATGTTTTTTCTTTCCTCTGTTTAATGTTTTGTTCTAGCTGTCACGACCCACCCATGCTCAACAACTAGTTGCGTTTCCTTTTCAACTATTGGTTCACATTTCCAGAATACTTTGTGAGTATATGGGTAGTTTCTCTAAGACCACTTCTCATCTCACGCCGATGACCTCGAAACATGCATGCTACCCTAACGCGAGCTCGTCCCACAAGGTGTGCGCTTTTTATTACTATCTGCAGAAATGACATCGCCGAAGATTTTGAAGATGAGTTGGGGCTCCATCTCGTTGGAGAAAATCGGTGAGGATGGAAAGGCTGTCAAGGGTGAGGAAGTCGTCTACAGAGATGCTAAGGTCTGGCCCGGCGGCAGTTGTGGATGGGACTGGAACAAGGGCGGTAAGTCATCTTCAGAGGAAATTTATAGTTTCTTTTTTGACACTTGAGTTACAGACTTTTTGGTATTAGTTAATCGTAGGTTCTTCATTTTTTTAAATGGTCCAGTGTTATTATGCATGAGTGAACGAAGTCGTCGATGGTTTCTGAAATCCTCGTCTTACTACCATACGCTTGAAGTCTTGTAGATACAAGTGGGTGTCAGACGTTTCGTGGTTCATGCTTTTTTGGCAGGCGACTGCTAATCGTCACATGTCGCATAGAAGTATGCACCATCACTGCTATCCATCACCATGATACGCGGTATTCTGACCGGACAAGTCTGTGCTATGTAGGCTGACCGAGTGTCTTTACTGGACCAGACTTCGCACTTACTGCCGCGGGTGGTATTGCCGCAAAAAAATGAAGGCCTTAGTGTGGACTGCACACCTTTCGAATTACGCCTGATTATGATAAATGCCTTCATTATATACCTTTCCTTCTCGTGTAATCACGCTCTTTTGGGTGGGTAGGAGGCCAGCCCTCTGATTGGCTGAAGTGGATTGCTTGCAGGCACCTCGCACTGGGGCGGCATAACACGCGAGGACGTGGAGGATTTGAAGGAAAAAGGTGCGGAGGTGGTAGTACTGACCCGAGGCCAGTGGGCCTTCCTTCATGTCCCACCTGAAGTTGTGAAGGAGCTGGAGGCTCTCAATTTCAAGGTCATTGTGGAACGCACAGCTCCCGCAATGGAGACGTACAATAAACTGGTCACTGAGGGGCATCGTGTTGCTGGCCTCTTCCACACCACTTGCTGATCTCATTCACTTTCTCTCTGGTAATACATTTCACTTTATTGACTACTGCCGTTCTAGACTGGGACCCGGGGTCAAAATGGATCATTCTGACTGGAACTTGGGAGAATCATGGGCAGGACCTATTCGATCGAGTCCTTTGGGAGCAGTGCAGGATAATTTCCACCACTTGTTAGGAATAATCCAAAACCCTTAGTGGTCGGGGGTCATCTCTGAGGTTTCGTCGAAGCTGGGGGTAACCACTGCCAATACGTAGAGTTGGTGTGAGCTGGCCTTCGTGACGAGAGGATGCAGGCCGAATGACGGGGCCTGAAGAGTCTTTAATCTGTTTGGTTGCGCCGTGTGGTCTCCCTTATTTTGACCATCCTTGTCGGGGCTTCCTGTGACCACGAACCGTCTGTGACGTTTCGTTTTGTGATTTACGAAGATGGTGCGGTGAATGTATGTCACCATGGCAATCGTGTTAGTGACACACGCCACGGATTCGTATGCGATTTCTGAGGCCCACGTCCTCCATCAGGCGGAATGCATGGCTAGATTCACTGGGGAAGTGTTGCTAAAGTCTGCAAGATTAGCTACTGTGAGCGCATTTCTTCGCTCGCCCACATGATCGGGGAATAGACTAAGCTGGTGGATAAGGACGTAGGTACGACAAAACCGGTTCTCTAGCTCGTTTCGTGATACTTTTTCTGTAGCGTAAAAGTGGGAAGTGTAATGGCAAAAGGTGTAATCCTTAATCCACTACTTATGTTCATCTATCCCTTTACAGCCCATAATATTAGTAGGGAAAGAAAAGTTTACTTTATTCTTTAAATAAAGGGAGCTGTTTCTTTTTCGAGAAGTCCGTCTAGAAAGTAGGATTTTCTCCGCAACTTGGGAATTCAAATTGCTAAAGGAAAAGCGCATCTTGCGAATGTAATCGCCTCCGGCACTGGTGGATTCTGCTGACACGGTGATCGAGTCATCGATATGGCGCATTGGAGGCATTTCAAAGCTTGTCAAATTTAATGGTGTGTATCGTTCCGGCTGTTGATACAAAGAAATAGGCGGCTTTGTTGTGTTTATGGAGGGCAGCCTACACAATCCAAAGGAGAAGAAATGATGGTAATTGAAATTCCCCTCTTTTTGAAGGATATTTCATCGTGGGCATAACCAATTTACGGTTTGCCACTGACAAGGTGACTAAAACATCAATTTTCTCGCCCCTACTAAGTTGAAGCCTGCAGTTTTTGGATGCATAACTTTGCCGGGTCTCGTTCATTGCTCACCTCAGCGAGAAGTAGCGCTGTTGTTTTTCCATGCACTCTGCTTAAATGCTTTTCATTTAAACTGAAACAATCATAAATTGGCTCAAAGGCATTGATAGGATTTGGATTTACTCACCTCACACCGTGATGGAGCACACTCAACTTCCGCCTGCACTCCACGCATAACGAAGTCTTGAGCTTCCCTCAAAAGTTTAGCATATATGTCAGAGACGGAGCGGAGATTAGCATTGGGCTCTTGCGCTTGGATCTCACACAAAAGCTCCGTCATTTCAGAGAGTCGATGATACTTACACGGGTTAGAGGGATTGCTGAGCTCTTCAGTCGAACACTGGCAAAAGCTTCTTTCAATTCTTCGAAAGAGTAATACTACTGCAGCACATTTAAATTTGGCGGAGTACTGTGCAAGTTGGTCACTTAGGAGACCCAGGTCCAAGCAATAGATACATAGGGGTATGCCCTAAAAATAGGACCACTGAGGAACTATGCCGGCGGGCGCTGTACTTATCTTAAAGTAAAGGACTGTGTTACCCAAGTGAATTCAGGGGGTAGATTCCTATCATCTGAGATCATCATAAGGGGTAGCAGAAAGCTATGTGGAGTGGGATAAGGCAGGTCCCGCGAGAGCTTGTCAGTTATAGCCTTTTCCTCTCTTGTAACCTGGAAGTTATAATCGCAGCATGGGAATCTGGAGCTGGTAGTGAATGCGAGATATCACATCGATGAGGTACAGCAAACATACTTGTTCCAGGCTATAGTTGTGTTCAGAGAAAACAATTAGATCGTGACGCATGTTATTCCATTCGTCTTCAGCCCTAGACGCAATGGCTATGTCGCCAATCATGAAAGCTGCCAACGCCCTCAGAACGTAAGCTCCCAATTTCGGTTCTTCGCACCACTCGCTGTGGTCCACGAACCAAGCAGCCATGTGCAAACTTTGTGATTGGATTAGCATAAGCTCTTGCAACTACGAAAGAGAGGGAACGGGAAGCAGAGAAATGTCTTATTTCAATATGGAAAGTGGAAATTTGTAAAGCAGTATTATCGCTTTATCCCTACCGAAGTCATCCAGTCGAAGATGGTAGCACGTAGAGATGCTGTGATAGCACTATTAGGAGGGAGAGTGCACACGTATGCCCTCATAAGCTCAGTATCCTTTTCCATGTCATGCTCTAGACGCTACAGTAACAATTACACAGATATGACTAAATTTGGGGTTGTAGTTTAAGGGGATGGATTGAAGCGGCGAGCAGAACTCACCCATCTTGAGAAACCCGATGAGGCACTGTACTCGTCACAAAGAACACGTCGGTGGTCGCAAGCCGCTTTCCATCTGCTTACTATTTCAGCTTGAGCCCTTTCATTTGGTGGTACTGTAATGCAATAGCTGTATGTGACCAAATTCAAGATTGTTAACACTTCTTAAGCGACCGTTTCTCTACGTTTTCTGATCAGAAGTTTTACATTTTCATTTAGTAAATATTGCTTAGGGATTCTACTTTTCGTCAATTATTTGTGCAGTAAAGAATCTCAAGTGGGAGAGAATGGTGTGGTGTAGTCTTCTGTACGAAGGTGTAATGTGACACTTCACCTTCTTGCAACAGTCTCACGTCATTGTTGATACCTCAGTGATTATCGTCGAATGCACAACGTTTAGAGAGACCTTTACCCTAACACTAAACCTGCCCGCTCTCTAACTGAATAAAGCCAAAGTGGGCCGATTTCCTGTGGGGTTATTATTTACGCCTATTTACTAGAGGGGGGAACGGAAGTGGAGAAACAGAATGGTGTAGAGAGAACCCAGATACACTTGGCTCAAGGGATCGCCGGTAAAATTTGCCTTAGATTTAGTAGCTCTGCAAAGGTCAACATAGACTTGGACTACGGAAAGCACGCGGTCAGTTGTGCCTTACCAACTCGTTAGACTGATGGTAGCGGGTTTTGAAATCTCTAAACTGATAGTGGAGCGAAAGCTCAAAGCTCATCTCGAATCAAAGTTTAAATGACTAGCTGTATCTACATATTTTGTCAAAGTTCAATTAAACGGCGGTGATTAGAATAAAAAGCCTTCTGTTTTTGATTTTGTCGACGGTAATTAGTCCGAATTTTTCTTCTCGATTCTAATGAAATAATGGCATCATTGTATGCAAGAAGTAACGACAAACTGATGTTCTGATTCAAGACAATTTCATTTCATGAATGGTAGCTCATTCCATTATTTTCCCAAATTTTGGTCTTGTCTCAGATCATAAGCGGGGTTGGCGCATTGTAATATGTTGGTCACTTGTTTAACTCTCGGTTTTGGTAAAGGTTACTCTGCCATTGTACATTCACCAGGTGGTCCGGCTCCCAAAGCTCCTCTGTGTGCCCAAAATTCATATTCTGCTCCAGTGTTGCCTTTTACCCTCAAGGGAGTATTAAGGAGCTACCGCCTCACCTAAGAAATTACAAGCTCAGTCTACTATTTTTGAATTTTAGTCCTAGCTCGAATCTTCTGTGAGGTTATTCTATTCCCAAGATTAGATATTACATGAGAAAGCTGGGCTCGTGAATTCGGTACTTGCTGCAAAAACTATAATGCAAAATTTAAAGATACATACATCCATGTAACCACTGTGCTTACCCATTTCGGAATTCTCGATTTCCGGTTGATTTGCCCGTCTTAGATAAAATCCTAAGCCATAATTCTGTGGCTGTTTGATATGTGAACAAAATGCTAAATGGTAATTGAAATTAAACCGTTAATTGGAGGAAAAACAACTCGCTGAAATAAAGGGCAAAAAATGCTCTTTCATAAACGTTACTAAAAGGTCATGAAATATTTTAATCAAAAGTCTTAAAATTGAAGAAACTGTTACCCGCATGATCAATTTCAGCAATGTATTTTACGAGTAGTGAAAGAAAAGACCAGGAAAAGGCAACGAGTACCAAAGGCTAGGTAATGCCAAGCATATGGTGTTTGCAACACTTGTAATTGCCCCGCCTTTTAATAAGCATTCAGTTTGGAGGATGACACTAAGGAGTGAAGATAGGATTTGGTTTCTTTAAGGGCTTCCACAATTGCAATTCATTTATTCACCAATTAGTTGGATGTCTTTCTCACTTAAGGGAAGATTACTATTCAGGACTACAACATCCAGCACCAAATACACGTTCTGGTAAATTACTCCAGTTTATTTCCATTTTGCTAGTGAACATACTGCATAATCGTGGTTGAGGTTGTTAAAATAAAACAGAATCTATCCTAACAGCTTGCATAACTATCTCCCATATTAATCCGGTTTACATGCACTGCCCTTCCTCTGTCCGTAGGTGGTGAATAAATCGAGGCTAAGTCTAGCGCTTGCAAAGTGTTCCTCCGCTAAATCCTCCTTTCCTGTAGTCAGTCCTAGTACTTCAGAACGAAGCAAATGCCCTCAATTAGGCTGAAATCTTCGCTCCTGTCCAGATCATTTTTAGGATATAGGGTCGAGTTAACGCGAAGGTACACCTTAAAGGAGAATTGCAGCTCGCCTCTTCCTACACACTCATTACGTGGGAAATAAAATTTGAGACTATTTGCTTCACCCTAAGACCACATAAGCCCATCCTTCTGGCTTGTAAGTTAATTGTCGTACACAAGTTTGCGTTTCAGTACAGACTTCAAAGAAGGATCAGCCCATGAATAATGCGACACTAGCGTGAACTAAACTGAATGGCTACTGAGTTGGGCATGACACGGTAACTAACACAACGTGACCTCAACCAAAGCCACTTGGGGTGCATAAAGCTCCTTCGGATAATAAAACACCTATCAGAAAAATTTTATTCATGTGGCAGCTACGCAGTCACAACTTTAAAACATCAGCAATTTCGGTTAGGTACAAGTTGTCCCTAACCATTCCTACCTAATCAAAGACGGTGATTAAGCAAAACAGCTAGTAAATGAGATCCGTTAAATTCACTGCAGTCAATCCCACCGCTGATAGAGCAACAGAGACCTAAAAGGAGGTGACATGCGAATAACACTTTTTTCCCAAATCACATAGACCGTCCTCCACACAAGCAACAATGGGTTGCGTTCACGGACTTACACAAACCACAGCTAACGACCTTCAGAATAGCTTCATATCAACACCTCCATTTCTCAACTGTCTTATCAACAAGACTCCTCAGTGGTGAGGTTGGCCGAAATTATTTTGAGGAGATTTTTCAGTTGCAATTCATACGCTATAAGACTGTACATTTTGAGTAATTTCCTCGAGGAGAAAATGTCTTCCATTGCATATAAGGGTATTTCCCTTTTTCCCCGCTACTTCTTTTGCCCTTTATGGAGTTTAGTTTAATTCGTTCACACATTCGAAAGTCTCAAAATGTGCCACTTTGTGATAACTACAATGCTTTGATTGCTTCCAGGCTCCCGATTTTAGTAACGGGAACTTACAGCCCCGCCATCATGCCTCCACCGGGCAATCTAAAATCCGAGCCCTTCTGCAGGTCGACACTACAAATTCTGTCCGAGTATTGTGCCTTCTCTAGTCTTCAGGCAAGTCTCGAAACGCTGTACAGCAGTATCCCATTGCACTTTATCCAGTTCACCCTGTACATTACGACTTAGATATACCTGTCAAGTGATAACGACCCGTTTTATAAAAAAAAACCCGTGAAATCAACTTGAAGCAGCCCATTGAACACTTCCTTTTCCTATGAATACCTAAGATCATCCAAATCCAGGGGCCGTAGAAGACTTCAGACATCCACCTACACCCGCGAACACGAGGCACGAAAACTGTTCCAGCTGTGACAGATAGAAATGGAAAAAAGCATGTATAAATACGCCATTAAAAAATTTACCGCATCTGACCTATTGTTTTTCCTAGAGGAATATATCGCGAGCAAAAGCTCGAGGTTCAAAATCTACGCGCACTTTATTGATCCACGTCATGACATCTGAAAATGGCCTCACTGAAGGGTTAAAGCGAAATGGACATGTGCCACAACGATGGTCACCACTCGCCCGTCAGTCCCACGTTCTCCTTTTGGCCACCCTATAAGGAAGAAGAGGACAACGAAGAAAAGAGAACAGTGTTTGTCAGCTATCATGCACAAAGCGCCGCCACTACACCAGCAAGAATTGCAGAGGGGAATGGAATGAAAATTTCCTACCATAACAGCAGTCAACCCAAGGCGGTAGATAAAGGCGGTAGAGGTTTTGCTGGACTCGCAGCACCGGGGACACCAACTACATCCATGCTCACATCGTCTCATAAACGCCCCACGGACCGACCTTCGGCTCTAGTCTCTCCACTCGCGTCGCTCAAGCGTTCGCGTAGCAGCAACGTTCGAGTGAGTCACTTGCGCATGAATCCCGCAACCGTGGGTGCTCCAAGGGCTCTGCTAAAGAAACCACCGCCACCACTACCACCTCCCCCATCGCCGCAGCCAATACCACGGCAAAAATCACATTCACAGCCACACGCACACAATTCTGCCAAGAACGCAATGGCATGCAGCGACTTGTATCTCCAGTCTCCGTCGGGAACTAGTAACAAGAAGTCATATACCTCCTCGATCCATGTCCACGTAAATCCAGTTGCCCCGCCCATCACGCTCGATCTACGTGAACCAACATATCAACCAAATACTGCTTCAAATTCCACAAGCAATGCGCTTCCTCAATGCTCCGAACTACAGGATTCACATCCCAAGAGGACACACCACCTGTTCACCTTTTCTCGCTGTCCATTAGACTTGAGATACAGGGAATTGCGGTGCATGGAAGGCGTCGTTTTCCAATCGACGCCAGCGAAAAGCACCAAGTTGTCCGTTGAGAAGGAGGCATTTACCGACACTGAAGTGCCTTTGCCGAGTCCACGCATCACCCTCGAATCGTGTGATAAGAGACGTGAAGAGGTCATCTCTAGAACCAAGGAATGTACCATGTGGAACACCAGGGACGACGTCTTGACGAACGATGTGACGATATTAAAACCACATGAAGAGGTGTTTCCCTTTATGCGAGGCACTGGAAACATTATTCAGCACTCCAAGGAGATGACCAATGACACTCCAAGCCTGAGCAGACTCAGAGTAGTCTCTCTTCGGGAGGGACGCGTGTGTGAAATTGTGCGTCCCTTCTCACCCTTTCACGCACTCATCTCCCTGGAGAATTCGCAGAAAGCATCTTTACGCTTTCATGAACCGACAAACAGCAGGGCTGTCGACAGTACTCCATGCATTCGGCTTCATGAATCAGTGGTTAGGCATGCATCACTTGGTCAAATCCTCAGTGAACCGCTGGCGGATAAGTCCCGCAATTTCCCTGCTCCCTCTCCAGAACCGAAATTCGATATACCCCCTGACAGAATCACCACTCCCCAATCACCCTACTTGACAGAGAATACCGTCTACTTCGAGGCACTTGGCAGCCATTCCACTGCATTCTGTCCAGAGGGGAGTCCACTCCTGAATACGAAGGCAGAGGGAGTGGCCGTCTCACCACTGAAAAGAGACACAACACCGACTCCAAAGGAGACGATGGAGCGCATCAACAAACTACGTAGCATCCTTCGAGTTGATAAAAAGTTCTACCCACTTCAAGTGGATAAATGTGTGCAGGTAGAGCAGCCTGCAAGAAGGACTCTGGATTCGTGGCAGATATCGAAGGAGTGTCAGGTGAATCAACTACCCTCGGATTTGTGGGACACTGCGACCATCAGTGACACCTCAACCCACTCCTTCAACGAGCATGATGATGTGGTCACCAACATTGTTGAAGATTACGGAGATTGTGAGCCACTGCCATCTTTCCGCGGACGTCCTCAACCACAAGAAAACGCCTCCTTTCCACTCCTCATGATGCGGCAGGAGCACAGGCTGCGCAAGCCATCATCCAAATTTGTCCGCCGCCGACGCCGTACTAAAATTCCAACTGTGAAGATGGAAGATGAAAGGGATGCGGAAATTACCTCAGGAGCGCCATTCGTGGCATCCCGAGCGATCAGATCTATGTCGGTGGACGAGAGGCGGTGTCTGCCATCGGCAGAGCAGGGATCAACCTTTTCTGCCAACGAATTCTCACCTCCAGTTTCAGCTACCACGTCGGCAACACGCTGGGAGGAGTGCATAAACCGAGTGTACGCACGACGCAGATATCATTCCGTCTCAAACAATACCCACATCCAATCTTCTCGGCCAAAGCAAACCTCTCGCAAATCCTGCACCAACGATCGAAAGAGGCTGCAAGACTTGAGGTGCAGTTTAATGAGGCAAACATTTGCATCGGCTCAACGATGTAAAGCCAGTCAACCTAATTAGCTTGAGGGCACTTTTTTAGACATCAAATGTGAAGAATACTGTTTGTGTACTATTTAATTAATCCAAAGATAGTTTCTTTATGGCTCTCGATCTCTGCTTACTTTGACCTCTAGTTCAATCAATTTAAAATAAGCCTACCACTGAATATACCTCAGGTGTAAGAATGATGTAAGAGGAGTCATCTATCGCACTAGAAAATAAAATGCTTAATGTTTAAAACATTCTAAGTTGGAAAGTCGTGTGTTTTTCTCCCATCGTAATTCTCCTATTTTATACCGATCCAATAACCTACCTATCTTCTTCCATAAAAGATTATGGATAAGGTTTTTGTTTGTTGACAGCGACAGCTGTTGTTCCCTGAGACTTCTTTGAGGACAAAAGAAGACATAATACTCGAACAGAATATGTGCTGCCGATGTGGAGATTGGCTGGGGGCTAGTGGCCTGGTCCAGACGCCATGCCACGCAGTGGAGATCCAATCAAGGAACCCTAAGTGCCCCTTAAACCAGAACGAAGAGTTAAACAAATAATCTGGGTATTACATAACCCCTCCCTTTTCCAAGCTCCCTTGGCCGAATTCCTATGGCAGTCATTACATCATAGTTGATACTGTAAGGAAACACCAACAAGTTAACAGTGCCAGACCTCGAAATTTCATGCAGCTAAAGAGATAGCTTACTGCAACGTCACTGACCCCTTTTGGCAAATGCAGTGGATCTGGAGTTTCTTCCAGCTTAGGAGCTGTGTTGAGCTAAAGGCGAAATGCATAGGCCATCTCCTATGACCATCGCTTGTTTTAAGAATACTGGCCTAACAGCAGAGTCACTTAGCGAAGAACGGGGTCTAAAATAGTTCCTTGGGGATAAAATTCCGCGTCTGTTTCTCCGTGCTACTTTGTTCCCACCTCAGTGCTGTTCAGCCACATATCTACTTGGGTTCTATCCGGCCAGTAGCTGGATGGTACTTACGTACTTACGTAAATAACTTCTTCATACAGATACTGTTGATGGCTCCATAACGATACTTCTCCAGATAGTTCACGGCTATGGCTGCTTCAGCTGTTAATGGCATTCCTGCAGAACACGGAACTGGGGTAGTTACCGAAGGTAGACGTCATTTTCAGCCCCTCTATTAGGAGCTGTCACAAGTTCTCCCAATAGCGACACCTACCCTTCTTCCGTCACATTAAGGTTCAGCATTCAGTAGGAGAAATCAGGACAGATGCATTTCAGGAGCAGGTTCACTTGCCAATGACAACAATGTAGAGTCCCGAGCCTTTCTTGAGGACGAAAGAATATGCATTACCAAAGCATAGAAGGGCTTAGGCGCCAAAGGTATGGATTGAAGGCCACGTTTCCCCAGCAGATGTCCATTCGTGGAGCTTGAGTGCCCTTGAAATCAAAATGAAGAGTTAAACAAACAATCAATGCATTCCATTATCAAATCATTGTTGATGCGACACCAAGACAGAACTGGATAGCCGGTGAGGTGCAAAGTTGATGAAAGAACTGGACACATCACTTTTGAAATTAAACTGCATGAACAACAAATAAACCTGTCAGATTATTTGGAAATCACGCATAATCAACGTGGCTTTCAACTCTACTTCTTCCCGCGGCTAACTTCCAATCTTCAAAATAATATTTCACACAAACTCCAATTATGTGGATGGGGCTGTACTTCCCTTAAGTGATGGCGAACTCTTTGGAGATGTCACTTCATCAAATGCACCCTTGGCTGTGCATACAGTTATGCGAAGGAGCGTTCGCATGAATGGTAATACGGAAAAGAGTTGAACACTGATAAGTTAGTAGAATTCAGCTCGGTGGAAGGGGTAACTCTGCCAAACCAGAAACTTATAAATCAGAGATGATGACCTGAACCCATTGTAGTCCCTTCTAAAAGATCTGCAAAACACCCAATGGTAACGTTAAAGGGGGCGGTGAATGTCTTCTCACCTGCTAGTACTACCATTTACTGAATACGGTCCACTGCACGTGGCCCGTCACCCCCGACGTCTGTATCCTAGGTCGCATGATATATGGCCTGTGCGCCTTCAGCGCTACCAAAGTACTGTCCAGGAGACCAGGTGCTAGTTGTCAGCTTTTTCAATCTGTAGCGTTAGCCATCCGACAGCTTCTCAAATGTGACTTGGGTCGTTCAGTTTTGCCTGTCTCGGAGGCGCTCCGTTGCCACACGACCTCAAGCCGGAACGGGAAGTAACAATAAGGCCGACGTGACCGACTGCGGGCGTGCATCTGCCGGGACTCACCAGAGTCAAAGTGCAACATCGAACGTGGGTCACCGCGGAACACAATGTGCATGCGGATCGAATACTGCGCTGGACACCCTCCCTCGCGAAAACAAACAAAATCGAAGGAAGCGGAAAAACCCCCAAGTCGTGTGGCGTGACCTCCCACAAATATGAGCCTAGAGCACCGCGCGCATCAGAACTGATGACCATAATCCCTAGACCAGTATGCCCCCAGAGAGCATTAAACAAGCCTATCCCTTATTCAAACTCTATTAGCTAACGCTATCACGGAAGGAAAATTCCCTCCAATGTCTAAGTTTGCAAGTCAGTCGTGCTTGCCAAAGAAGCTCCTCTTGCCACAATTGGAAAAATACGAAGCTTTCAAAAGAGAATTCACAAGCCCATTTATACACCAATAATCACACACTCAAACAGGCATAAGGAATGAGAAGAAAGATGATCACGTTGCAGCCTCCATCTCATCAGAATGACTGTCATTATCCTCTGCTTCATGCAAACTTTCTTCCTCTTCTTCATCAGAGGAGGTGTCGTCTTCAACCTCCCCATCACCTTCCTCACTGTCATCATCATCAGCTTCATCGTCCTCATGGAAGTAGCTGACTGCCACATCATAGGCAAAGGAAGGGGTTGTGGTAGAGGCTCCTGGTAATGCAAGAGGTGCTGCCTTGACGTTGAGGTATCGTACAAATTTCGCACTGTCCGCTGCGTCGCAGTACACCAGGGTTAACGCGTTGTCCTCAGGTTGGACGCGCAGCAACTGAAGCGCAATAACCACCAGTTATTACAGACTCGACCATCCCCCACTCCCTCCTGCATGTTGCACCGGTGACCCACAGGGATGGATCTTAGACCGCCCGAAGCACTAAATCGAATACAAATGGACAACTAGGCTAAGGAAAAGTAGTTTCCGACATTCGCTGTGGGTATACCTCCTCATTATCCGTCCTGGAAACGTAGATGATCTGCCCATTCCAGCAGTCCTGCCAGTAGAGTTGATTGTTACCATCGCTGCTGTTACTGATGCCACTATTGTTACCACCGGTGGCCGACTCGGTGATCGCTTTCGCCTTCTCGCCCAGTTTGCATCCGTAGCCACCGACATGATAGAAAAGATCCAAGCGCCAGGTAGAAACACCACCATCAGGCGCGGTTGTGGCGATGACACCAGATTCCGCATCGGCCAGCAGTGTGTACATGCCAGCACACCAGCGATGGAATCGCGGAGCAGTCACTTCAGTGTTTGTTGTCTCTTCAAAACGACTTCGCTTAGCTTCGCTGCCATTGTCGTCCTCCACTTCCTCCGCCTTCTCAGCACCACAACGGGCTAAGGGGTGAAGCCTGATGCCAGTCATTTGGGAGAGGAGGAGAAGCATCGCTTCTGAGGTGAATAAACGTCGCACCTCATGACAATCCAAGGGCAATTTCGCCGCCACCTCCGCCTCTGTGGCGTAGGGCAGCACACTTACGTTCCTGCAGGAAAATCAAACTGCAACCCTCTTGTAAACATTTCCATGATATAGTTATGCTTCAGGAGAATAAAAGATTTATCTCATGATGGGATCGCTCGACGTTTAGCCTATGCAAATCCTTAAGACGTCAAGTATTATTTCACAGTGAATGAAGTGACATCGGTAACTGATGGTGTAGGAGCCCGTGAAAATGACCTTATGAGCACCGCAAAGACTCAATTTGCGCACGGAGCGATCGCAGAAACCTTCGTTAGTAGGATAACTACGGTTTGTAAGTGCGCCTTGCTATATTCATAAAAGAATCTGCACATAAATCAAGTGTCAAAGCAAAAAAAGTTGACTTTGAGTTTGGATATGAAATGAATACCCTCACAGCCAATGGTAAACCCTGTGGAGGGTGGAATTTCTCGTAGCTCTAGGTCCCTTTGGAGATGGATTTGAAAAGAAAAAGCAAGAACCGATATGAGCACAGGTGTTAGTTCACCGAAGCTACCACAAAGCCTAGACGAACTACATCAGTTTTGCGCTCGCCTTGACTGTGGAAACTAAAGATTTCCACACATGATTACGGCGCCAATTAACATCCAAGAGTCAGAGACCAAAGGCATTCGCAACTACCAAGGGGAATTAAAGTGGATCTTAGGCACCACTAGATGTGTGGAATAACCTCAGGATGACCTTTAATAATCACGGATGCCAAAATTAAATGCATGGGACGGGATTACAAAGACGACAAATGCGAACTAAATACTCCCACCAGAACTGCCATTGAAGCAAAAAACATTAGATATCAATGAAATAGGCGGACAAATTGGTGTGCGGATCAAACCAAATCAATTTAACACTTGTCTTAGCCGTGATAATTGGTAAATTCCCACGCAGTTGATTATGACGTTCAAACGGTGAGGAAAAATAAACCGCGAACCTCAAGTCCATCGGTCCCTCATGCAGCCAAACGGCCTCCTCCGCACTCAGAATGGCTTTGCACAGACGCTCCCAGCTGCTTTCCTGCGGAGGAAAAGCGCAGCGGTAAATTAGCCCCCACAGTGCAAAGGAAAAAACTTACGCGGAAGAACTGGCGCAGTTGGATCTCCGAGGTGGAAATAAAACGTCGTCGAATGACTTTCAGCTGTTCCAGGTCAATATAAGTAGGGGAAAGCCATTTGAAGAGCAATTCCTCCTATTGCGACAAATTAATTCACTACTGTAGGATTCCAAGCAGAAGACAGAAGACGAAGGGAAGGCGAACAACCCACCTCAATGAAGCAGGGGGGAAGGCGAGGTATTCTGACAGGATCGCGTGACCGAGGCACACGTGGGAGGGGATCACTCATGTACCACCCATGAATTGAGAGACGGTCTCGCTTGCCGATCACCTCCGCCACCTGTCGTCAAGGCAAACAAAAGAGAAGGGGCTTGAATTTTCCCTGAGAACTTGTCTGTCGATTCCGAGGTTCTAGAAAAACAAACATCGATCTTGTCGATAACTTTATGCGTCAAAAGCTCTCTGAGCCATCACATCACTGTTTTTCAGATTTGGAATAAGCGCTGCGTATATGACTCCGTACATGTGGTAGGTAAACACCAAACAGAATGCACGGTAATAAGTGACATTTGCGAAAATTGATAACTAACATAAGCAGATTGTAGAAACAAACTGCCTCCACCATATTGTGCGAACTCTAAGCATCGACGTCCCACGGAAAGAAAATATGTGACAAGAGACCAGACACAAAAAACTAATAACGAAACAAAAAGAAGCGACGTAAGATCAGCAGAAACAGTAGAATGGTCGTCGTTACGGATCGAGATTAATGAAAAGATGCTGGTCAATAGACTTACAAGACACTCAGGTCAAATGCTTAACACCAACAAAACTGACCTGATGAAATGATTTCGAACAGACCTCGAAGAAAGCCAAACAATTGCGACCAGGAGGCAGAGAACGGACGACTCGCCAGGGGTGATAGTCACCAGATCCGGGTGGTACCACGTTGCAGCCGGGAGTGGGACCGGATTCGTAGAGGTCAAGGGTTCCACCATCCATGGCGACATCCCAATCCTCTGGAACCAGGTAGATGATAAAGGCGATGCGTCGGCGCTCCAGTTCGTCATCGTGACAAAGGAGATAATCTGGAAAAATCGAGAGCCAAATCAGATGAATGTAAAAGCCCAAAGGGCAACAGAGACAAAGCCTCACCATTTGGCTCATAAAGAGAGATAGTTGAGCTAACTTCACCTTCGTCCAAATCGGAACCAGTAACGGCCTTCATCCATTGTAACATATCGGACGCGAGGAATTCCCTGGAACGTAGAAGCTACAGTAGATACAGTGGTCGGATACATGCCTTTATTCAGCAATACAATAGTATAAACAAACCTCATCTGACATAAAAGTGGAAATTTCCCAGCAAGCTTAGCACTTTTACAGAGCCCCTTTAGATCGCCGCTCTGATTGAGTGAAAAAAGGTCGTTTAGCCGACGATTGAGGGGAAATTTACGAGCCTCAACCTCTAGAGCGCAAATCTCGGCAGTTTCCAGAAAATTTGGAAGTACTGCACACGTAAACGGTGAGTGGATTATCTTGACGCCATCTAGAAAAAAGGCTAAAATTTTTATTTTCACGGATGAAGATGGAGAGCGACCTTGAATACAGGCGTACACACCCCCACTTTCCATTGTTTTCCCTTCTGGAGAACGAAAGATCTCCAGAAATAGCCTTTGAAAGTCAGGATCCGCGTACTTAGGATTGATTGAGAACGAACACCTCATAGTCACGTGCAAACGAGGCTCAAAACTTATCCAAGGCGGCTAAATGAGTTAAAGACGGAAACAAAATACTCGTCATTAAGGTAAAAATATACACACCTAAAAAATGCAAATTTAAAATGCACTCAGAATCTGTTACTTGTTTCTTATACACGTGTTTGCCGCTAAGCGGAGTGCAATTTAATATTTTTAAAGCAACAAGTTAGGAAAAATACTTTACTAATTTGTAACCTGTATAGGGGTTTTTAAAATAAGCAAGTTAGAAAAATGCTTAGAGTTATTAGAAATTGGCAGCGTGACTACTAAAATCCACTCTGTATTATTTTGTCGTTGCAATAAAACCATGGAAAAAAGCCTTTTCATCAATGTTGTTTTCAAAGAACAGCTTTGGTCTAGAGGCAATCGAGCGAGAATGCATGCGTCTTCCCATTTTTATTATCCTAATTTATTCTACTTACTCAACCACACTGTTTGGTCGAAGGAAAGCAAGCGGGTCACTCGACTGGTATGCCGACGTTGTAGCCTTTGCCTAAACTCGTTGTATTGTTCAGCAAATCTCTTGTTTTCGCTGTTTGGAAACCATTTTTGCAAATTTAGCACAGTTCTTGCTGATTGTGGCGTTTGATTTCTTGGTAGGGGAAAATAGTTTCCTAGCTAAACTATTATCTATTTGGATGGGGAGAAGGGCAAATGCATTTTTAGGTAAGGTCTGATCGACTTCCGCTTTTTTCATTCTCTTATCTGGATCGTTTTTCTAGTCCTTTTTTGACACTATAGTAGTTTTGTCTCAGTACTCACTTCCGTATCTGGTGTCGTGGGTATGTTTTTTCTTTCCTCTGTTTAATGTTTTGTTCTAGCTGTCACGACCCACCCATGCTCAACAACTAGTTGCGTTTCCTTTTCAACTATTGGTTCACATTTCCAGAATACTTTGTGAGTATATGGGTAGTTTCTCTAAGACCACTTCTCATCTCACGCCGATGACCTCGAAACATGCATGCTACCCTAACGCGAGCTCGTCCCACAAGGTGTGCGCTTTTTATTACTATCTGCAGAAATGACATCGCCGAAGATTTTGAAGATGAGTTGGGGCTCCATCTCGTTGGAGAAAATCGGTGAGGATGGAAAGGCTGTCAAGGGTGAGGAAGTCGTCTACAGAGATGCTAAGGTCTGGCCCGGCGGCAGTTGTGGATGGGACTGGAACAAGGGCGGTAAGTCATCTTCAGAGGAAATTTATAGTTTCTTTTTTGACACTTGAGTTACAGACTTTTTGGTATTAGTTAATCGTAGGTTCTTCATTTTTTTAAATGGTCCAGTGTTATTATGCATGAGTGAACGAAGTCGTCGATGGTTTCTGAAATCCTCGTCTTACTACCATACGCTTGAAGTCTTGTAGATACAAGTGGGTGTCAGACGTTTCGTGGTTCATGCTTTTTTGGCAGGCGACTGCTAATCGTCACATGTCGCATAGAAGTATGCACCATCACTGCTATCCATCACCATGATACGCGGTATTCTGACCGGACAAGTCTGTGCTATGTAGGCTGACCGAGTGTCTTTACTGGACCAGACTTCGCACTTACTGCCGCGGGTGGTATTGCCGCAAAAAAATGAAGGCCTTAGTGTGGACTGCACACCTTTCGAATTACGCCTGATTATGATAAATGCCTTCATTATATACCTTTCCTTCTCGTGTAATCACGCTCTTTTGGGTGGGTAGGAGGCCAGCCCTCTGATTGGCTGAAGTGGATTGCTTGCAGGCACCTCGCACTGGGGCGGCATAACACGCGAGGACGTGGAGGATTTGAAGGAAAAAGGTGCGGAGGTGGTAGTACTGACCCGAGGCCAGTGGGCCTTCCTTCATGTCCCACCTGAAGTTGTGAAGGAGCTGGAGGCTCTCAATTTCAAGGTCATTGTGGAACGCACAGCTCCCGCAATGGAGACGTACAATAAACTGGTCACTGAGGGGCATCGTGTTGCTGGCCTCTTCCACACCACTTGCTGATCTCATTCACTTTCTCTCTGGTAATACATTTCACTTTATTGACTACTGCCGTTCTAGACTGGGACCCGGGGTCAAAATGGATCATTCTGACTGGAACTTGGGAGAATCATGGGCAGGACCTATTCGATCGAGTCCTTTGGGAGCAGTGCAGGATAATTTCCACCACTTGTTAGGAATAATCCAAAACCCTTAGTGGTCGGGGGTCATCTCTGAGGTTTCGTCGAAGCTGGGGGTAACCACTGCCAATACGTAGAGTTGGTGTGAGCTGGCCTTCGTGACGAGAGGATGCAGGCCGAATGACGGGGCCTGAAGAGTCTTTAATCTGTTTGGTTGCGCCGTGTGGTCTCCCTTATTTTGACCATCCTTGTCGGGGCTTCCTGTGACCACGAACCGTCTGTGACGTTTCGTTTTGTGATTTACGAAGATGGTGCGGTGAATGTATGTCACCATGGCAATCGTGTTAGTGACACACGCCACGGATTCGTATGCGATTTCTGAGGCCCACGTCCTCCATCAGGCGGAATGCATGGCTAGATTCACTGGGGAAGTGTTGCTAAAGTCTGCAAGATTAGCTACTGTGAGCGCATTTCTTCGCTCGCCCACATGATCGGGGAATAGACTAAGCTGGTGGATAAGGACGTAGGTACGACAAAACCGGTTCTCTAGCTCGTTTCGTGATACTTTTTCTGTAGCGTAAAAGTGGGAAGTGTAATGGCAAAAGGTGTAATCCTTAATCCACTACTTATGTTCATCTATCCCTTTACAGCCCATAATATTAGTAGGGAAAGAAAAGTTTACTTTATTCTTTAAATAAAGGGAGCTGTTTCTTTTTCGAGAAGTCCGTCTAGAAAGTAGGATTTTCTCCGCAACTTGGGAATTCAAATTGCTAAAGGAAAAGCGCATCTTGCGAATGTAATCGCCTCCGGCACTGGTGGATTCTGCTGACACGGTGATCGAGTCATCGATATGGCGCATTGGAGGCATTTCAAAGCTTGTCAAATTTAATGGTGTGTATCGTTCCGGCTGTTGATACAAAGAAATAGGCGGCTTTGTTGTGTTTATGGAGGGCAGCCTACACAATCCAAAGGAGAAGAAATGATGGTAATTGAAATTCCCCTCTTTTTGAAGGATATTTCATCGTGGGCATAACCAATTTACGGTTTGCCACTGACAAGGTGACTAAAACATCAATTTTCTCGCCCCTACTAAGTTGAAGCCTGCAGTTTTTGGATGCATAACTTTGCCGGGTCTCGTTCATTGCTCACCTCAGCGAGAAGTAGCGCTGTTGTTTTTCCATGCACTCTGCTTAAATGCTTTTCATTTAAACTGAAACAATCATAAATTGGCTCAAAGGCATTGATAGGATTTGGATTTACTCACCTCACACCGTGATGGAGCACACTCAACTTCCGCCTGCACTCCACGCATAACGAAGTCTTGAGCTTCCCTCAAAAGTTTAGCATATATGTCAGAGACGGAGCGGAGATTAGCATTGGGCTCTTGCGCTTGGATCTCACACAAAAGCTCCGTCATTTCAGAGAGTCGATGATACTTACACGGGTTAGAGGGATTGCTGAGCTCTTCAGTCGAACACTGGCAAAAGCTTCTTTCAATTCTTCGAAAGAGTAATACTACTGCAGCACATTTAAATTTGGCGGAGTACTGTGCAAGTTGGTCACTTAGGAGACCCAGGTCCAAGCAATAGATACATAGGGGTATGCCCTAAAAATAGGACCACTGAGGAACTATGCCGGCGGGCGCTGTACTTATCTTAAAGTAAAGGACTGTGTTACCCAAGTGAATTCAGGGGGTAGATTCCTATCATCTGAGATCATCATAAGGGGTAGCAGAAAGCTATGTGGAGTGGGATAAGGCAGGTCCCGCGAGAGCTTGTCAGTTATAGCCTTTTCCTCTCTTGTAACCTGGAAGTTATAATCGCAGCATGGGAATCTGGAGCTGGTAGTGAATGCGAGATATCACATCGATGAGGTACAGCAAACATACTTGTTCCAGGCTATAGTTGTGTTCAGAGAAAACAATTAGATCGTGACGCATGTTATTCCATTCGTCTTCAGCCCTAGACGCAATGGCTATGTCGCCAATCATGAAAGCTGCCAACGCCCTCAGAACGTAAGCTCCCAATTTCGGTTCTTCGCACCACTCGCTGTGGTCCACGAACCAAGCAGCCATGTGCAAACTTTGTGATTGGATTAGCATAAGCTCTTGCAACTACGAAAGAGAGGGAACGGGAAGCAGAGAAATGTCTTATTTCAATATGGAAAGTGGAAATTTGTAAAGCAGTATTATCGCTTTATCCCTACCGAAGTCATCCAGTCGAAGATGGTAGCACGTAGAGATGCTGTGATAGCACTATTAGGAGGGAGAGTGCACACGTATGCCCTCATAAGCTCAGTATCCTTTTCCATGTCATGCTCTAGACGCTACAGTAACAATTACACAGATATGACTAAATTTGGGGTTGTAGTTTAAGGGGATGGATTGAAGCGGCGAGCAGAACTCACCCATCTTGAGAAACCCGATGAGGCACTGTACTCGTCACAAAGAACACGTCGGTGGTCGCAAGCCGCTTTCCATCTGCTTACTATTTCAGCTTGAGCCCTTTCATTTGGTGGTACTGTAATGCAATAGCTGTATGTGACCAAATTCAAGATTGTTAACACTTCTTAAGCGACCGTTTCTCTACGTTTTCTGATCAGAAGTTTTACATTTTCATTTAGTAAATATTGCTTAGGGATTCTACTTTTCGTCAATTATTTGTGCAGTAAAGAATCTCAAGTGGGAGAGAATGGTGTGGTGTAGTCTTCTGTACGAAGGTGTAATGTGACACTTCACCTTCTTGCAACAGTCTCACGTCATTGTTGATACCTCAGTGATTATCGTCGAATGCACAACGTTTAGAGAGACCTTTACCCTAACACTAAACCTGCCCGCTCTCTAACTGAATAAAGCCAAAGTGGGCCGATTTCCTGTGGGGTTATTATTTACGCCTATTTACTAGAGGGGGGAACGGAAGTGGAGAAACAGAATGGTGTAGAGAGAACCCAGATACACTTGGCTCAAGGGATCGCCGGTAAAATTTGCCTTAGATTTAGTAGCTCTGCAAAGGTCAACATAGACTTGGACTACGGAAAGCACGCGGTCAGTTGTGCCTTACCAACTCGTTAGACTGATGGTAGCGGGTTTTGAAATCTCTAAACTGATAGTGGAGCGAAAGCTCAAAGCTCATCTCGAATCAAAGTTTAAATGACTAGCTGTATCTACATATTTTGTCAAAGTTCAATTAAACGGCGGTGATTAGAATAAAAAGCCTTCTGTTTTTGATTTTGTCGACGGTAATTAGTCCGAATTTTTCTTCTCGATTCTAATGAAATAATGGCATCATTGTATGCAAGAAGTAACGACAAACTGATGTTCTGATTCAAGACAATTTCATTTCATGAATGGTAGCTCATTCCATTATTTTCCCAAATTTTGGTCTTGTCTCAGATCATAAGCGGGGTTGGCGCATTGTAATATGTTGGTCACTTGTTTAACTCTCGGTTTTGGTAAAGGTTACTCTGCCATTGTACATTCACCAGGTGGTCCGGCTCCCAAAGCTCCTCTGTGTGCCCAAAATTCATATTCTGCTCCAGTGTTGCCTTTTACCCTCAAGGGAGTATTAAGGAGCTACCGCCTCACCTAAGAAATTACAAGCTCAGTCTACTATTTTTGAATTTTAGTCCTAGCTCGAATCTTCTGTGAGGTTATTCTATTCCCAAGATTAGATATTACATGAGAAAGCTGGGCTCGTGAATTCGGTACTTGCTGCAAAAACTATAATGCAAAATTTAAAGATACATACATCCATGTAACCACTGTGCTTACCCATTTCGGAATTCTCGATTTCCGGTTGATTTGCCCGTCTTAGATAAAATCCTAAGCCATAATTCTGTGGCTGTTTGATATGTGAACAAAATGCTAAATGGTAATTGAAATTAAACCGTTAATTGGAGGAAAAACAACTCGCTGAAATAAAGGGCAAAAAATGCTCTTTCATAAACGTTACTAAAAGGTCATGAAATATTTTAATCAAAAGTCTTAAAATTGAAGAAACTGTTACCCGCATGATCAATTTCAGCAATGTATTTTACGAGTAGTGAAAGAAAAGACCAGGAAAAATAAAATTAAGACTAAAAAAAGTTACTAAAACTGGTTTGGACTCCCTTTTTAGTCTTCAATATGGAGCATTTGACACGGCGCCAATAAGGCTTGACGAAATCTTAATCATTGTAGCATTGTTGCAAAAT